TATACTTGTTAGAGTGGCTAAACTTTCCAATTGTTGTCAGTGATAAAGAACAACTGGAATGTTGATGGAAGGCAACTACCTATTGGAAAACAATTAGGTAGTTTTTATAAAGTTAAACAGAGTTATAATCTAGCAGTTCTTTTTCTTAGGTATTTATTCACAAAATCCTCAACACATATGGGTGGGGCAAAAAACACGCAGAATTTATTTATAAAAAAATTGTGTATCAATTCTTACATTTTAAAACTTCAATCTCCTTTAAAATACTCTCCTTTTGATGCAATATACCTATTGAGACACTTTTTCCACTACTCAAAACAATTTTTGAACTTGTCAGTTCTGAGGCTAAAAGGTGCTTCTGCCATTTTTTGCTTTACCTTTGAGGTCTCCCTTTGAGAAGTTTTTCATCTGAAGAAACAAAAACACTTGGGGTAAGATTCGGTGAATAGGGAGGGTGGGGCACTGGGGTCATGCTGTTTTGGGTCAAAAACTGCTGAATACTCAAAAAAAACCAAACTGCCTTTAGGGCATGAAGGCTAAGAGTGTCTTTAAAGAATTTAAGTCTTAAATGTGAAGCCTCAAACTATAAAAATCTTAGAAGAAAACCTATGGAGCACCTTCCTGGACATTGGCCTAGGCAATGAATTCATGGCCAAGACCTCAAAAGAAAATGAAACAAAAACTAAAACTGACAGATGGAAACTTATCAAGCTAAAAAACTTCTGCACAGCAAAAGAAACCATCAAGAAACTAGACAACCCACAGAATGGGAAAAAATATTTACAAACTATGTATTCAACAAAAGCCAAACATCCAAAATCTATAAAGGGCTCAAACAAATTGACAGGGAAAAAAAAAAAACCAAACTCATTAAAAAGTGGGCAAAGGACATGAACAGACACTTCTCAAAGGAAAACATACAAGCAGCCAACAAACGTATGAAAAAATGCTCAACATCACTAATCATCAGAAAAATGCAAATCAAAACTATAATGAGATTCCATCTCACACTGGTCAGGATGGTTATTATTAAAAGTCAAAAAACAACAGGGGCCCAGTACAGTGGCTCACACCTGTAATCCCAGCACTTTGGGAGGTTGAAGTGGAAAGATTGCTTGAGACCAGGAGTTTGAGACCACCCTAGGCAACATAGTGAGACTTCATCACTTCAAAAAATAAAATAAAAAAGTTAGCTGGGCATGGTGGCACACCCTTGTAGTCTCAGCTATTCAGGAGGCTGAGGTAGAAGGATTGCCTGAACCCAGGAAGTAGAGGCTTTGGTGAGCTGTGATCATGCCACTGCACTCCAGCCTAGGCAACAGAGTGAGACTCCGACTCAAAACAAAAACAAAGCAGGTGTTGTTGGAGCTGCAGAGGAAAGTTCGGAATACTTGTTCACTGTCAGTGGGGCTGTAAGCTAGTTCAGCTGTGATGGAAAGCAGTTTGGAGATTTCTCAAAGAACCAAAAATAGAGCTACCATTTGACCCAGCAATCCCACGTCTGGGAATATACCCAGAGGAACACAAATTGCTCTGCCAAAAAGACACCTGCACTCAGATTTTTATAGAAGCACTATTCAAAATAACTAAAACATGGAACCAACCCAGATGCCCATTGAACTTGGACTGGATAAAGAAAATGTGGAACAGATACACTATGGAATACTATGTAGCCATAAAGAAGAACAAAATCATGTCCTTTGCAGCAATATGGATGCAACTGGAGACTATCATATTAAGTGAACTGTCACGGAAACAAAAAACCAAAGACTGCACACACACAGGCACAAGGGCAGGAACAACAGACACTGGGCACTGCTGAAGCAGGGAGGGATGAAGGAGGGATAAGGGATACAAAACCAACCATTGGCTGGGTGTGGTGGCTCACACCTGCAATCCCAGCTCTTTGGGAGGCTGATTGCTTGAGTCCAGGAGTTTTAAGACCAGTCTGGGCAACATAGCAAAAACCCATCTCTATAAAAAATGAAAATAAAAAAAATTAGCCAGACGTGGTGGTATGCACCTGTAGTCCCAGCTACTTGGAATGCTGAGATGGAAGGATCACCTGAGCCCAGGAGGTTGAGGTTTCTGTGAGCTGTGGTTGTCGCAGTCATGCCACTGCACTTCAGCCTGGATGACAGAGTGGGACCCTGACTTAAAACAAAACAAAACCAAAAAACACTCAGGTTTCATGCCCACTACTGGGGGTTGAGGAGGGCTCATCAGAAGCCCAGACCTCATCTTCATGCAATATACTTATATAATAAATTCTCACATGTACCCTATGATTCTAAATTTTAAAAAATTTGTATAAGTCTAAGAGGAAAGCACTAGACAGACTTGCACATGCATAAGCCCACTTACAGACAAGTACAACTCTAGAAATAGCAACCTTAGCTACAAACCAAAAGGCATGTTTATATATATTTGGTACAAAAAGTATGGCTCACCTTTCTACAATAGCCATAAACAGAAGGATCCTTTGTCAGCAGTGACATTTTTTGAAGGCCAAGGTTGATTAAAGATTGTGCTTCCACAATATTATGCTAAACCAGAATTATTTTTATGATAGCTAATCACTATCTAAAGTGTTCCGATAGGAATTTTCTTTAGGAAAGTAAAAAAAGTCACTGAGGCCATGAATGACTGAATTGTAGCATTGCTTACTTAGGCAGCTGTGTTTCCATAGAAGTTATATAACAAGCCTTTCCCCTCTTTTTTTCTGTTATCAGCATGGAATTATTTTCTCTCTTTTTTTTTTGAGTTGGAGTCTCACTCTGTCACCTAGGCTGGAGGACAGTGGCACGCCTCTCGGCCACTGTAGCCTCAACCTGCTGGGCTCTGGTGATCCTTCCGAATCAGCCTTTCAAGTAGCCAGAACTACAGGCGAGCGCTATCATGCCTGGCTAATTTTTTATTTATTGTAGAGTCGAGGGCTCGCCAATTTGCCCGGGCTGGTCTTGAACCCGCAGACTCAGGCAATCCACTCGCCTTGGTCTTCCAAAGTGCTGGGGTTACAGGCTATTTTTTCTCTTTTAACGTATAACAAAATCAACCTCATTTGGTATCCATGACTTATTACAAATAGAATTGACTTATGTTTTAATATAAAATTATACCCTAGCAGCAACCTAACATAAGCAGATACATGAAAGGTTTGGGCCATGCACATGGTTCATGCTTAGAACTCAACACGTTGGGAAGCCTAGGAGGGAGGATCACTTGAGCTCAGGAGTTTGAGACTAAACTGGGCAACATAGCAAGAACGTTTATACAGACAAAAAAAAAAAAATTAACTGAGCATTGTGGTGCGCGCCTGTATTCCCAGCTACTCGGGAGGCTGAGACAAGAGATTTGCTTGAGGCTGTGAGTTTGAGGCTACAGTGAACTATGATCATGTTACTGCACTCCAGTCTGGACAACAAAATGAGACCCTGTCTCAAAAACAAACAAACAAACAAACAAGACCCTAAAAGACTTGGACAGGCTGGGCGTGGTGGCTAAGCCTGTAATCCCAGCACTTTGGGAGGCCAAGGCGAGAAGATTGCCTGAGCCCATGAACTCGAGACCAGCCTGGGCAGCTTGGTGAGACCTCGTCTCTACAATAAATCACACACAAAAAAACTAGCCAGACGTGGTAGCGTGCGTCTGTAGTTCCAGCTACTTGGAAGGTTGAGGCAGGTGGAGGCTGCAGTGGCCATGAGCATGCCGCTGTACTCCAGCCAGGGCAACAAAAGTGAGACTCCAAAAAAAAAAAAAAAAGACTTGTACACTGATTTCAGTTGTCTCTTTAAAATAGTATAGTATCAGCTGGGCACGGTGGCTCAGCCTGTAATCCCGCAATTCCGCGCTTTGGGAGGCTGAGTTGAGTGGATTGCCTGAGCCCACGGGTTCGAGACCCGCCTGGGCAACTTGGCGAGATCACATCTCTACAATAAATCAAAAAATTAGCCAGGCGTGGTAGTGCGCGCCTGTAGTTCCTGCTACTTAGAAGGCTGAGGCGGAAGGATCGCCAGAGCCCAGCAGGTTGAGGCTGCGGTGGCCGAGTGTGCCACTGCACTCCAGTCTGGGCGACAGAGTCAGACTCCAACTCAAAAAAAACCCCAAAACAACAAAAAAGTATAATATCAAAAATCTATAAGTAGACTTGATTCCTAAAGAAGAATTTGTGGAGCATTGGGAAAATGTGGTTCCTCGCTGTTTTTTATTAGCAGTGTGTTCATTTTTGCATTTTTACCTTTCAGTCATTTGTCTTCACTGAATTGGATTATCCTTGCTTGTTTTGGTTTGGTTGTCCTTTGCAGTCCAGCTATACTTCAAGCTGGATTCAAGTCTCTTTTCTCTTACAAAGCCTTTTTTTGCTATGTGATCCAACACAACTCTTTTCTTTTCTCAAATTCTGTTGCTTTGCTTTTCTTCTAGATAATATACACAAGCTTTTTTTTAGCTACTTTATATTATTTCCTTTCATCTCATCTAGGGCTAGATATGATAGTTAATTTTCTAGTTTTATAGATACAAAAATAGGAACAGGTGAGTTATTTGATTTCCCCAAAATAGAGCTTCAACCCAAATTCTTATTCTAAAGTCTGTTTTCCCAGTATTGTAATGCCTCAGGTTTTCTACTTTATCTTCTACTCCTGCCATATGTTGAGCAATAGTAGATATTACAAGTTGACTGGTTTGAAATCAATTGTCCAAACTTCCAGTCACTGATGCCTATTTCTTTTTAAAAAGCCATGCTTATAAAAATTAAATACATGATCAACTACTTAATTAATTTTGGAATCTTTTATCATAATTTAATGTTGAAGCTTGAGTTTTTCAAAGGGGCAACATATTGTTTGATCAAAGATATCTGAAGTTTTTCTTATTCATTCATCAGACAAATGTCATTGACTATGCACTGTATACCCAATATTATTGCTAGCCCTGAAATATGGACAAATGTTGACTGTGTTCCTTTGTTAGTAATATTTGGTCTCTTCTTATTTATACAGGAGAGATTAAGCAGATTCTAGAAAATGAACTTCAGATACCTGTGTCTAAAATGCTGTTGAAAGGCTGGAAGACTGGAGATGTGGAAGACAGTGTGAGTTTCTTAATTGCCTGGAAATAACAGAAAATTAAATTATGCAATTGACTAAATTATGTATAAAATTTGTTTAACGAATATTGTTTTGTATGATGGAAGTTAGATTTGGTAATAGTAATTTAGTTTAAGGAATCAACATATCATGTTGTCTAAGCTAAAGCATTTTCATGCTAAACTACTAACAATTTTAAATGTTAGGCATATAACTGAAAACACTGTATGGCATGATTCTCCTGTTTCTAACTTTAATAGTAGTTTGGTACTCTTTTTTGAGAGCCGTTACCTTTTCCTCAAACTTCTTACAGTATGAGTGAATGCCATGCGGTAATAATTTGCTGAACAATTAAATAGTGGCCTGAAAGAAGTCAGTCACACAGAGTATGTAAAATTTATGCCAAGTATTGATTATGGAACAAAGATTATAATACAAATTTTTTTAAACTTGGATAATTTAAATGATAAGAATATTTCTTTCTTTTTTTATTTGGGTAGTAGCAGGTGCATGCAATGAGTTGTATTTTAAAAATTTGTACAATGTGTTGCAATTTTAAGGAAATAGTTGCTATTCTTAGGGACCCAATAGTAGTCTTAGGTGTAAAATAATTCACACACTTTTTCTTTTCCTTGCAGAGAGAGTAAAGAAGGGAAATAAGTGAGTGAGTTCTCAAGTTTTAGATGTTTGATATGGAAATAATTATGGAATCTTTTTACACTAATTATGGAGTCATTATTTTAATGGCTAGGCATAAACTTAATATCTTCAACTTTTGCTTCAGTTGTTTTTATGAATGGCTCCTGGTAGATGTTGTCCTTGTATTAATAAGTACTCATATGTGAGTACATTTGAATTATGAACATATTCTGAGTATTTTAATTTATAGGAATTTCAGATTGGCAAGATATTTATAAGTTTAGATACAAGTTAATGATGTGCTCTATTAGGGGTCAGCAAACTTTTTCTGTACAGAGCCAGGTAATCAGTATTTTAGGCTTTGTGTGTCATACAGTCTCTATTGCAGCTACTCATTTCTGCTATGGTAGTGGAAACGCAGCCATAGACAATGTGCGACAGAGCAAGTGTGACTATGTTTTAACATAACTGTGTTTATGGATGCAGAAATTTGAATTTTATATAAGTTCATGTCATGAAATATTCTTTTTGATTTATGTTTCCAACCACTAAAAAAATGTACGACCATTCTTAACTCACAGTCCATACAAAAGAAGGCAGCTGGCGGGATTAGTCCCACAGGCCATACTTTTCTCACCTGTGGTGCTATGTGGTTCTTCTGATTAAAAACTTTTTAAGTTCTGACTGAGTAAATCCACAGCCTTGACAGAAATAAAACACCAAAATGAATTTGTTTGCATAGCTATATTATTTATTCATTCGTTAAGAAACCTATGTGTAAGAATCAGCCTGGCATGGCATCTTCAATATTTTGTGACGAGAAAGGCAATCATTTTGAAAATGTTCTTTAAGCTATGTATCTAATATTCGAATATAGTCAGTGTTACAAATAAAACTTTCAGTTTTTTATTTTGATGTATACTTTTTCCTAAGTGATTTCTGCCGTTCTCGTGCCATTAATTTTCTGATTGTCTCCAAAGTTCTATTTCTAGCCCAACTTCTATGACTACATAAATCTAAGTTGACAATTGACTTTGTACTTATATATCTTATTGGTATTTCAAACTTATCATTTTTAAAATGGAGTTCTTGATTTTCCCTCCTATGCCATATCTCTACTAGTCTTCCTGATAAATAGTGACACTATGTATCTACTGCTAAATCAAAAAATGTGGTATCAGTCTTTTCCCATTTCTTATAACATCTAACCCCTTCAGTAAGTCCTATAGATTCTGTCTCCAAAATATATCTCAACCATGGCCACTTTTCTGTATTTCTATTGCAATTTCCTAACCCAGGCCATTTTCGTCTCTTGCCTCGACCAATATGATAACTTCATTATTCCTCTCATGGATTCTTCTGATATATTCTTCACACAGTAGCCAGAGTGATCTTTTAAAAACATAAGTTGAATTATTTCACTCTCCTATTAAAACATACATAGCTTTTTATTACATTTCAAATGAAATTCAGACTGCTTACCATAATTTATAAGGCATTGTGTTACTTTATTTTCCCCTCCTCACACCTGCAATATCTTGAGACTTTCTTACCCTTGCTTTCCATGCTTCAGATGCTTTTAAAACTTTTAATAAGCTCAGACTCTTTACGTCTTTACCTGTCAGATGCTATTTAACTGCCTAGAATGCTTTACCCCAGTTCTTCACATGAGTGACTTTTTCGTTCTTCAAATCTCAGCTTAATGTTACCTGTTCCAACAGGCCTCTTTATCTAATCTGGCTTCCATCCCAGCATTCTCCATCAAAGCAACATTAGGGACCATCCATTTCTTTTACCGTTGTATGTCCAATGCCTGGCATAGTAGACATCAAGTACATGGTCATGAAATGAATTCATGAGTAAATGACTTAAGGAAAGTATTCATTTTATTTACTCTTGCCATTTGTGGTTTGATTTGGTAGAAAATCTTTGGATAGTGGCATGGCAAAAGGACAATAGTGACTTGACCAAATGGTAAGACTAAACATTTATCAATAATTTACAAATTAAAATAATGAAGCATAAAAAGGTAAAAATAACTTTCCTATGTGTATGTGTGTGTATTTTGTTTGTTTGCATGCTAACTCTAAAGAGATAATATCCATTTCAAAAGGAGGTCATATATTTGACATAACGTTTCAGGACTTCAGTATCTCTTGGTAGGTTGTAAATTTATTGCTAATTGCCTAATACCATTTGTTTTTTTTCAAACCTCTAATGAGTTGTGAAGTTAATTAAGTGGGTTATAGTCAGCATTAATATATAAAAAGAAGAAAAAAGAGAAGCCGAATACAGTAGAAAATGTCAGGGTATATTTTCAAATTATTGGGGTAAGTATGTATTTATTTTTATTTAACACATAACTAATATGAGTTAAGAGTAAGTCTCAATACCATTGGAGTAAGACTTCACTTAGTAAGATGGATTCTTTCATGGAGGGGTCAAGAATAAGTTTTTTATGTTTCATGCTTGCATAAGATTACCTCTCCTCAGGTGTCCATGCCTCCATTTGCAGGGTTAAGGAGAATTTTTTAAAAAATTTTATTCTTATTTTAAAAAAACAGAATTTAAGACAGGGTCTCAGGTCTCACAGTTCACCACAGCCTTAACATCCTGGGCTCAGGCGATCCATTTGTTGCAGCCTCTTGAATAATTGTGACTAAAAATATGTGCTACCACACCCAGCTAATTTTTTTTTTTTTTTGTAGCAAAAAGGTCTCATTGTGTTATCTAGGCTGGTATTGAACTTCTGGGGCTCAGGCAATCCTTTTGCCTTGGCCTCCCAAGTGCTGGAACTACAGGCATTAGCCACGACATCTGACCAAGAAGAATTTTTAGACATCCACTTCTCCTTGCTTTCTAACTTCAACCTTGCTGTTATTATTTGCTTTAATTTGACTAGTACTAATTTTGTGACGTCTTTCCCTTGTTTATGCCAGCCACTGCAAGGGGTCCAAGATTCCCAGGTTACTCCTCACTCAAATCTCCAGTTTATGCATATTACATATTTGTCTCTGTCCTTTTTCCTCTACAGTGCTTGAAACCTTTTTTGCCATGCCCTGTGGAATTAATTCATTATTGACAAAATTCCTTCTATTGCCAACCTCTTCCCTTTACATTCTCTTCACCATCTTCCTCTGACCAAAATGTTTTTTCTGAGGACATTGTTTTTCTGCAGGCTTCTCAATATTAGTTGTTTTTTCCTGGCAGCTCTCATAGCACTGCAATAAGTGGCAAAATGTGTGTCTTCACTGTTCCTCACTTCTACTTACAGACCTTTTATCTGTTCCTTCCTCTCTAAAATTCCTTCAGCTTTGAACTTCATGTCAAAGGATGAACTCAACTGCTTATTGAAGTCATTTCCCAATGATTTTTAGTTCCTGGTTTATAATTGTTCTCTGTCTTAATTCTTAGTAATTTTAATATCTTTGTAAATGATTCTTGGCCTCTTACTTCCTTGAACTTATCCCCTACAAAAATCTTTTTCTTTTTTTTTTTTTGAGTTGGAGTCTCACTCTGTCTCCCAGACTGGAGTGAAGTGGCCGCTCCCGGCCACCGAGCCTCGACCTGCTGGGCTCCGGTGATCCTTCCTCCTCAGCCTTCCAAGTAGCCGGGTTTACAGGCATGTGCTACCACGACCAGCTGATTTTTTGATTTATTGTAGAGATGATGTCTCACTGCCCAGGCGGGTCATGAAAAAATCTTTTTCTTTACCCCACCTCAATCATATCTTCTCATGGTCCTGTCATGTATTATGATAATGACAACAGCTTATCATGATGACAGCAACTCTCAAATCTTAAATTTTGAGTTCCCCATTTTCTGCTCGCCTTCTCTCATTTTTCTGTCTCACTTCTTTCAGTACCCTAACTCCAACAACCTTCAATCCTACTTAGACCTTCAATTCATTGTTTCTACCATCTTTCATTATCATTACCTCTTTCATATCCTCCCTTCCTTCCATGATGCTAAATTCTACAGTCACTTATTATGATCGCTTTCTTGTGAATACCCTTAACTCTTGGTTTATGGTCCTTGCTTTACAAAAATCCTTCCCTTGGCTAAGTCTAACTTCTGTCAGTTCTGGGCCTCACAGCTAAATGTGGCTGGAGACAAATAAAATCATGTCGATTGATGTATCTTTAAGTTTGTGACTACTTTCTGGCTGGGCAGTCACAGTATATTTACTTGGTTTATCCATACTCTCCTAAGTGGTTATTTTATACTTTTCTTCTTTAACCTTATTCTCAGCTAGTGTCTTTGCTTTTCCTGCTTTGTTTCACTAACAAAATAAAGGCAATCACAGGAGAATTTCCACAAGCTCCCAATTCAGTCTCTATTTACTTACCTGCATCTTCCCCACATACTCTCTTTTCTTTCCTGTTACTCTAGTGGCCTAAGTTCCTTTCTAAGAACAAACCTCCATTTTTGTTTTGAATTACATTCTCCATCTCCTCTTGCCTATTCAAGGACTTCATTCTAATTCTTCCCTGTTTCTTCTGTAGCATCAATATTTTCCTTTAGTAGGTTGTTACCATTAACATTCAAACATTAGGTTATTTCTTCCATTTAGAAAATAAAAGTCTCTTTTTTATAGCTGCATAGTATTCAGTCATGTATATGTACCACATTTTTTTAATCCAGTTCTCTTTTGATGGTTGGTTCCAGGTTCTTGCTATTGTGAACAATGCTGCGATAAACATATGTGTGCAGGTATCTTTTTCATAGAGTGATTTGAGTTCTTCTCTCACTCATAAGTGGACTTTGAACATCTATCATAATACTTTAAGAAAAGGATTAACAGTGGCGGGAATCTATGGGGAGGCAGGGAGGGCAAGGGTGGTGGGATTAATGGTAGTCAATATCTATCAGGGGATGGGGGGACACCCCTTATCAACAAGGGTGCCTGAATGATGCATGTTTGTATACCTAACCCTTAACTGTATCCCACAATTTTAAAATAAAAAATATGTTTTAAAAAAAAGTCTCTTGTTCCCAATCCCACTTCCAGTAATAGCTTCATTTCTGTTGTCCCCGTGATAACAAAACTTCTGAAGAGTTATTTTTATTTGTCTTCTCCTTTTCCTGTCTTCTTATTTTGTTGAGCCTAGTCTAAGCTGGAGCCTGCTAGTGCTTGTGTCAAGATCACCAGTGACCACATTACTAAATTTAGCAGTGTCCATGACCAGTTTCATGACTTTCAAGTGTCATCTGTATGCACTCTCAATTTTATAACTCTAATTTATATTCCCCAAATTTCAGATTAGTATATCCAGCTGCTTCTTTGTCTTAGACACTTGAATGTCTAATAGACATATCAAACTTAACTTGTCCAAAATAGAAGTCTTCATCTGCAGTCCTCCCCATATCAGGTGATGGCAACTTCATCCTTCTAGTTGTTTAGTCTAAAATATTTAGGGTCATTATTGATGCCTTTCTCTTATAACCCATATCTAGTTTGTCAAAAAATTATTTTGGTGTATCTTTAAAATTGAACCAAATCCACTATTTTGTACCACTCCTACGATCATCACATTGGCTTAAGCCACCATCAGTTTTTTCTTATTTAATTTCATTCGTCTGTTCTGTCCTTCTTCCCTCCACTGTCAGCCTCTTTCCCATCCATTCGTAACACAGCTGTCAATGTGATTCTTTTAAAATATGAATCCACCCCACGTCTTTAACGTAAAAAATTAAAAAATATATAAATCAAATCATGTCACTCTAATAGCTTTCCTCTCATTCAAAGTCAAAGTCAAAGTCCTTACATTAGCATGAATAGCTCAACACATTTCCTCACCATCACTTTACCTTGCTGACCTATCTCCTGCTAATGCTTACTTGGCTTTCGTTACATTGGACTCATTCTTGTTTCTTAAACATTTTGCACTGGCTATTTCCTTTGCTTGAGATATTCTTTCTCTGTATATTCTCATAGTTTGTTTCTTCCATCTTTAAGTTTTTACTTACATGTCACATTCTGTGAGACTCACCCTGATTACCTTGTTTAAAATTCAAAGCTCTCCAGCCCCACATGCTTTATCGCCCCTTCCTACTTTATGTTTACTAAAAAATATTATCACCTTCTAATACTCAACTATATAGGTTTGCTTATTTTATTTATTCCTGCTAAAATGTAAGCAACATAAAATCAGGGATTTTATTTTAGGCTATTATATTCACTTCTATATTCTCAGTTGCTAGAGTAGTCCAGGCATGGACCATGTGGCTCAATAAATATCTGTTGAATAAGTATGTTGTGACTTAAGATGTCAAGATGTAAAATGTATTTCTTAATGTGTACTGCTGTCAAAAAAAAGTTTGAAGTCCTTCAGCAGGTTTTAAACCATTAAGTTGGGAGTTTGAAATATATATGAGTTTTGTGGCAAAGAAATTTAGTGAAATTTTCTATGGTTATCAAGGTCATAAGTAGCCCAAGAGTAGTTTATTCACTTTAACAGAGAGCTTTAACAAAAATTATACCTGGATGTAAGAGTAAAGTGATCTAGGCAACACTAGAGACCTCATTCATGTTACTTAACTTTTCAGGCCATAGCTCTTCATCTATAAAATCAGCGACTTGAGGGCATATTAGTTGCAAGGATATACTTCTTAAGTGAAGAAATGATGAAGTCTTAACTGTGTTCTTATCTATTTGTGTCTCTTCGTGAGCTAAAGAATTTAGTTATTTTAACATTCAAGTTTATGCTAATCTGTGATATGTATGGGGGAATTAAGGTTATTTGGATTCAGTAATTCTTCTGCATTACTCTAGTTAGGAAATTATCTGAAGATGAATAGTCAGACTATGAAATTGCCAATTTTTCAAGAATTATAGGAAAAATTAGGAATATATAATCAACATTAATTTTTTTTTCTTTTTCAGACGGTCCTAAAATCACTACACCTGCCAAAAAACAACAGTCTTTATGTCCTTACACCAGACTTGCCACCACCTTCATCATCTAGTCATTCTGGGTAAGGTGTTACATTCATGGGATTCTGAAACAAAGAGTTTGATTGTTAAATTGCTTTAAGCTGAATATAAACAACAAAATTAAATCAAACAAAATTTTGTTGAATCTGTAACTTAACAACTACTATTGAGTTTATCAGTTTCAAACTATTTTCTCTGGATAATTTGTTTTAGTGGTAGAATCTTCTTATCCAAAGAAAATCTTTAGCAAAACTCTAGTATACAGAAAAAAGAAAATAGTCAAAATAGTACTTCTCTGATTAAAGGAGAAGTATTAGAGTTGGAGGGAAAATAAAGTTTTAAATGGAATCCCAATCTTGCTAAAGAAGGCATGTCTTTTAGGAAAATTCACTGGGCTCTGCAGAGTAAAGCTTGAAAAACACTGTACAAATTTTTTATTAAGATTTTATCTCTATTTGGAATAGAGGGTCTTTCTTTCAGTTTCATAGTGGAACTTAATACATTTATAGAATGGTCAAATTCTTTTAAATTTATTTACACACTAGGTTTTTTATTGCTAAATGAAGTAAACTGATCTATAGTGGATTATTATGTTAGTGATAGGATAATAATTATTCTGAATAATCTTTTTATACAGTATTATTGCAGGACTATGTTTAATTGTTTTTAGATTTTCAGTTTCTATACAATTTTTTTCACTTTTAAATACAGCTTGGTGATTTTTGTGGTAGTGAGGACTATAGGTCTAAACATTGAATATTGTCAAACTTTTCTCCCACCACTTGCCAAATATCTTTACTTTTAGGTAGATAGAAGCAAAAAAGAAATCAAATTTGGTTTTACTGAAGTAGAAATCACTAAAGTGAAAAGGGCAAATGGAGACTCCTGCTAATGTAATTGTATTTAGTAGACTGTTGATAGCTTGTTTTGGGTTAAGGATTTCTTGAATTGCTCCTTATCTTCTATTTTAGATCATATTTTAATGGGAAGTAGAATTTGCAAACTACTGCAAAATTGCAAATTGAAAACGTATAGTCATGTGTTTATAGTAATGTTGATGCAAACCTCAGATGAGATTAAGTTAGACAAAGAATTATAGGTATGGTTCTGTATCTGGTTAGGTAAAACATTATTTTGTAGGTTAGTTAACAAAGTATAATCAGTGTCATAAAATACGTAATCCACATAATTAAAAGTAGATAGGATACATCATTGTTTATAATCTATTGCTTTCCAGAAGCGTTATTAAATGGATTTATCAAAATATCTTCCTGGGCTAATGGAAATGTTCTTCATTGCTATGTGACTGACCTTAGTTTGATTGCCAATCACTCGGTTCCTAGGCTAGCAGGGGCCTACAGTGCTGCTGAAATGCATTGTTTATTGGAGAACGAGTCCTTCATATAGCATTAAAGTCATTTTTCCTTGTTGACTTTGTGGATTTTTACCAAGTTATAATGGTGCTGTTTCTTGTGTTGAACCAATAAGAAAGAAAATAACTAAAAGGCAATCAAAAGATATAGTGGGAAGAGGGACAAATGATGACTCTTGCTAATGTAAAAGTTCTATCTGTGCACATTTTATAAAAGCCTAACAAAAAAGCAAAGGTTGACTGGGTGCAGTGGCTCATGCCTGTAATCCCAGCACTTTAGGAGGCTGAGGTGAGAGATCTGAGCCCACGGGTTTGAGACCAGTCTGGGAAACTTGTTGAGACCTCATCTCTGCAATAAATAAAAAATAAAAACAATTAGCCAGGTATGGTGGCACATGCCTGTAGTTCCAACTACTTGGGAAGGTGAGGTGGAAGGATTGCTTAGCCCAGCAGGTTGAGGGTACGGTGGCCATGAGTGTGCCACTGCACTCCAGCCTGGGTGACAGAGTGAGACTCCAACTCAAAAAAAAAAAAAAAAGCAAGGGTTTACTTCTTATAGTGCGTTTATCTAATATATCTTCCTATATAACCAGAGATTTTAAAAATAGCATTGTATCTTAAATGGTTATTTCATGGGAGATATATTTTTTAAAGATCCATGTAGGACCTTAAAAGCTAATGATAATAGTTATTGTTAATTTGTGGTTTTCATTTTGTGTTTTACTAAATAAAAATAATTTATGTAGTAGAATGTAAAAGATAATTTCCTAGTGTTGATAAAATAATATATTGTCAAAAATGGTAGATGATTGAACCTACTCTGTGCTAGACTTCATAATGAATCAAGCTGATTTGCTTTTGTAGAATATTGTTATAATTGGTGGATTTATCAAAATCTTATTTGTAATTTTAACCTAATTTATAATATAAAAAGGAGAAACTAAATGATAATTGTGATTCTTAGTGTTATTTTTGGAAATTGACACATGAATAGAACAACTCTGAAATTGGTAGAGGAAAACAGAAAGGTTTATATACATATTATTTTCGTCCCTTTCTTTATCTCAGATATGGGACTTTTAAAAAAGTGGTATATTTTATTTAAGTGGTTAGTTTGATATATAATTGGTTTTATTGTTGTTTTGTTAAGTTTTTCTCTGAAGTGAGTTCAGTAGATATTGGAAGATGAAGGGGAATTGGAAAATAAATGCCTGCTAAATGTAGTGCAGAACCATGATAAAGTCCTGCTGCTGAATTCCACCATTCTTATTCCAGTGCAATGGCAAACATTAGGTTCATTCTTTTATAAGGTGTTGGCTTCTCTAAAGGGACTAGATAACATTAGTATTATGGTGTCACTTATGAACAAAGTTTATTATAGCCAAATTAGGAAAGTAATATGATTGTAATTCATCTCTTTTAACAAAAGACATAAAAGTATAATGAGAAAAATCTTGGATTCCAGTCCCAAGTTGGCTAGAGCCTTAGATTTTTTATGTATAAAATGGGAAGCATTGTTTTTAGCTACCACGATGGTTGTTAAAATTCAGTAAGCAATAGTGTTACATTATATATGAAAGCACAAATTACAAAGCACAATAATTAAAATAATTTATATCTGTATATGTTAATAAAATCAATAGTAATTCTTTTCATTCAAATTTTACTTGATTTTTATAACGGCTCTGTAAGGATACAGAACTATTTTGATATATCTATCTTATAGATGAGGAAATTGAGGTATTTAGAATAGAAAGAAAGTTGAGATATTAGGAGAGTTACGTAGATTGTTTGAGGTCAACAGTGAATGCTCCTGACTCTGAAGATTATGTTGCTCCACCTACTATATAACTTTCAGATTCTTGACAGAAATATACAAAGCTTTATTCCAAAGTCACATTCTTATTTTTGAGTTCTGTTCTCTAGAATGAGATGTCTTTTAAAAAATCTTGTACCTTATCATATATTTTTTGGAGGGTATTTTGCATATACTGTTTCACTTATTGTAATTCTCAAGAATTTCTATGAAATTTCAGTGGTGAATTCACTGTTAGAGTACATTATTAATAATTTAATAGAATGAAGATATAGAATAACATTTACTTTAATTGTTTACTGATAGACAGCTTTATTCTTAAGTTTTGGTGAGAACTGTAGTTTCAGAGAACTGTATCTCAAACCATGTTTTTTTTTAAGAAACCTTCTTAACTTGATTTTACTACCACTAGGGGGTGCCTGGAAATTGAGTCTTTGTATTTACAATTTCTTTCTGAGAAAGAAAAAAGTATAAGCTAAGAGCAGCAAAATAACCATTGAGTGTCCATATTTGAGTTTAGAATGATTTTTAAGTAAATTATGTTTCTCAAAAAATAGGATTTCAAGCTTTCTGAGAACTTAAGAACAAACTCTGTAATTATAATCTTTATAACAGTTGAAAAGCATTTAACCTGCCCAATCAGATTTCTCTAATTAATTGAAAAGATGAAGCAGTACCCCTGTGGCCCCATGACACAACTGTAGATTATATTATAAATCATAGTAAAATTAGAAAAGGGAAAATTATGTTTCATATTATAGGAAAGAGTCCAGTAGTGATGTATTGATTACCTACTAGATAAAAACAAGCTCTGTTCTCAAGGATTTTGTTAACCTATTTATTATGGATAGTCATCCCTTTACAGAAAATTTCCTTAGATATTAATTTATCCCTGGTGTTCCTTAAGATACTCAGATTGTTTCATCAGATCTTCTTCCTAAGCTCTTCTTTTCTTTACCTGCTTTCAATGTTGGTGTTCTTGAGAGTTATTTTCTTAGCAAACTCTCTTAATGTACCTTCTCTCTGATATCTGTTTTGAACTCTTTAATTTCTAAATATATATAGATAACTTATAAATCTCTAACAACTCATATGTCCCAGTTAACCTATGGAGCTTTTCACTTGTATGTGTCCCATATGTAATTCTAAGTCATATACCTAGAACTGAACTAATTATCTTCCCAAGAAATCTGAACTACTGTCTATATATTTTTTGTCTCAAATGTGCAATGGTATAAAATACTAACTCACATGCCCCAGTTGCCTATGGAGCATTTTACTTGTATGCATTTCCTATGTAATTCAAAGTTGCCTAGAACTGAGCTCATTATCTTTTCCGAAGAAATCTGTACTACTACCTATATTTTTTTGTCGGAAATGTACAACAGTATAAAATACTGAGGTATATTCTAACTAAGGTGATAATTATTAAAAAGGCCGATGTGACAGGCACAGTGACTTGTGCCTGTAATCCCAGCTACTCAAGAGACTGAGGTTGGAGTATTGCTTGAACTCAGGAGTTTGAGCTGCAGTAAGCTCTGATCATGCCACTGCAGAGCGAGACCCCCATCTCTAAGAAATGACCATTGGGCTGGGCATACAAGTAATTAATGACTTTGTGAAGATCATTTTTGATTTAATGGTGAGAATGAGAACCAGATTATAAATAGATCGTAAGTGATAAGAGAAATGAAGAAATGGAGTTACTGTTGTTTTCAGAAACCTTGACTGTGAAGGAGAAGTTGAGGAAGAAATAGGACTGAGAAACTAGAGAATTGTTGGAAGTACAAGAAGAGAAAGAGAGAGAGAGGAGGAGAGCGCTGGTTTTTGTTTCTAGAAACTTCTTATAAAGA